CCAGGGCTGGAGCGGCAGGAGGTGTGGGTGGGAAGAGCCCAGGACTGGGGGAGCAGGGGAGTGCAGGTGGGGGCCAGGGCTGGAGCGGCAGGAGGTGTGGGTGGGAAGAGCCCAGGACTGGGGGAGCAGGGGAGTGCAGGTGGGGGCCAGAGCTGGAGCGGCAGGAGGTGTGGGTGGGAAGAGCCCAGGACTGGGGGAGCAGGGGAATGCAGGTGGGGGCCAGAGCTGGAGCGGCAGGGGGTGTGTGTGGGGGGGGAAGAGCTCAGGGCTGGGGCAGCAGGGGAGTGCAGGTGGGGGCCAAAGCTGGGGCAGCGGGGGGAGGGGGGGCGGCAAAAAACCTAGAGCTGGCTCTGTTCCTACCATTCACAGCAAGCTGCAGATTTCAGTTCCCTATGCCTTTCCCACACCCCTTCCTGTTGCTAGTGGCCAAGGGAATGCTGGGAAATGTAGTTCTTTCCCTGCTCCAGGGCTGGCTCAATAGGCAGGGAGCTAACCAAGGAACTACAGCTCCCAGGGCCCCCTGTTGGTTCTCAGCTCCCATGCTGGATTCTTGCACCCCTTGCAAATCTGCCATCCCAAGCAACTGCTTGCTTTGCTGGTGCCTAGAGTCAGCCCTGCTCATCAAAGGCATACTGTTTTGTAAAAAATACCGGTAAGTGGATGGTTTAACTCATTTGAATCTCCAAAGTTATTTTAGGGATGAATTTCCAAGTGGGAGAGAGGGGCAAAGAGACACCTTCTCTTTATGAAAGATGGCATATGGCGGCTCTGCCATGAGTACTCCCAGCTCGCTCACCCTCCTGGCTGATGTTATGGCTACTAGGAAGGCAGCTTTCATCAAGAGATGGGATGTAGAACCAGGTAGGGTGACCAGATGTCCTGATTTTATAGGGACAGTCCCGATTTTTGGGTCTTTTTCTTATATAGGATCCTATTACCTCCCACCCCCATCCCGATTTTTCACTTGCTCTCTGGTCACCCTAGAACCAGGTGGCTAATGATTTGAAGATAGGTTTGGTGAAAACCAAAAGAATAAGGTTGAGGTCCCATTGTGGTGTTGTTTTTGCCATTGGTGGAAGAGTTTGAATAAGTCCCTTCAGGAATCTAGCCATTGTGGGATAAGTGAAGATAGTATGGTCCGCAAATGGAGGATGAAAGGTGCTGATGGCTGGAAGATGGACCTGCAGGGAACTGATTGAGAGCCCTAATGTCTTAAGGGTAAGTAAGTATTTTAAAATAATAGTGATTCTATGGGACTCTGGAGGTAGCTGATGCTGTTCTTACCAAGAGGAGAAGCGCTTGAATTTGGCCGAATAGCATCCCCTGGTAGAATTCTTCCTGCTTTGTTGGAGAATGGTTTGAACAGCCACTTAACATGAACACTCTGTGTCTGATGCCCATCCAAATACCAGGCCTTGAGTTGTAGAGGTTCTGGGCTTGGATGCCTGATTGTACCATTACATTGCATTAGCACATCTGGAAATGGTTGGATATTGATGGGCAGATGGGTTGAAACCGTCAGGAGTTCCGAGAACCACACTTGTCTCGGCCCATTGAGCACGACAAAGATGACCTGAGCCCTGTCATGGTAGGTCTCTTGCAAGACTTGTGGTATTAGTGGGATGAGAGGGAAGGCATATCTGAGGTGGTCTGTCCAGGGGAGCAAACAGGGTATCACCCTTCGAGCTACGGCCACAGCTGCTCTGGAGCAGTATAGGGGTAGTTTCTTGTTCCCTTGTGAGGCAAAGAGACCTCAGGATGGTGTTTCTCCACTGGGTGAGGATCTTGTTCAAAACAGAATTGTGACTCTCCCATTTGTGGTCTATGGAAAACTGTCTACTGAGACTGTCTGCTAGGGAATTCTGCACACTTGTTGGTATACTGCTGAGAGGGTTATGTGGTTTCTGACACATCAGTTCCAGAGGTTGATTGTCTTTGCACACAGGAGGAGAGAGCTTGTTCCCCCCTGTTGTTTATGTAGAAGACAGTCATCCTACTGTCCAACATTACCTGGATATGTTGGGATTAGATGAGTGGAAGGAAAGCATTGCAGGCCTGACAGACTGCTCTTAATTCCACTAAGCTGATATACGTGCTGGCCTCCTGAGAGGTCCAGGTGCCTTGAGCAGTGTGATTGTCCATATGGGCTCCTCACCCTACGAAAGAAGCAACTGTGATTTTTGTCTTCTCAGATGTAGGTGTGAGGAAAGAACTCCCACCCAAACTTTCTCCAGATTTGTCACCAAGTGAGAGAAACCATACCCTGTGCTGGAATAGTTACTTTGGTATTGATGGTGTCTGTTTCTTTGGTGAGTAGATGGACTGAAGCCAGGTTTGTAGGCAGCGGAGATGAAGCCTGGTGAATGGTGAGACATAAGTGCATGAGGCCATGCAAACAAGGAGGAAAAGACAGGTCCTGACTGTAGTCTCATGTTTGAGGTTGATCTGTTTTATCAGCTCGTCCACAGTGTGGAATCTCTCAATGGGAAGATAGATTCTTGCTGTGGTTGAGTCCAAAGTCACTCCTATGAAATCTATGGATCTCATGGGAATCAAAATAGACTTTTTGTGGTTGAGACAGATTCCCAGGGAAGACAGACTAGGAATTGAGTTGCCAGTTGGACTTCCCTGCTGGATCTGCTAGTTATCAAGATATAGAAACACAATAAAGCTGTTTCTTCTCATTAAGCTACTACCACTGAAAGGACTTTTGTAAAGACCCAAGGTGCCATAGCTAGTATGAATGGAAGGGCTCTGAATTGGAAATGGTCTTGCCCAAGGAGGAAATTTCTGTGGGATGGGTGAATGTAGATGAAAGTGTCTTTCATGTTGAGAGCTGAGTACCATGTGCCCTTTTCCAGAAAGGGAATTTTTAATGCCAATGTGACCATGTGGAATTTTAATTTTTGGGTGAATAGATTTAGTTGGCATAGGTTGAGACTTGGTCTCCGTACACAGGATTTTGGGGGGACTAAGAAATATGGGGAGTAGAACCCTTTTCTTTAGTGCTGAGGGGGCACCAGTTCTCTGGCCCCTTTCTGGAGTAGAGAACTAACCTCTAGATGAAGAATCTTTGTGTGAGATTGGTCCCTGAAAAGGGCCTGGGAAGGGGGTTTGGGTGGGGAGGTGAGAAACTCAATAGTGTAGCCTTGGTGCATGATGTCTAGTACCCACTTGTCTATTGTTATTGCCCTCCAGTTGTGGCAAAGTGAGTAAGACAGTCATCAAATTTTTTGGGGGGGGGGCAATAAGGTATGCCATCAATATTGGTATGCAGTCCTCAAGCAACAGAGGGTCCTGTGGCACCTTTGAGACTAACAGAAGTATTGGGAGCATAAGCTTTGGTGGGTAAGAACCTCACTTCTTCAGATGCAAGTAATGGAAATCTCCAGAGGCAGGTATAAATCAGTATGGAGATAATGAGGTTAGTTC